CTGTAAAATCGATTTCATGAATCGTGCATCAATATAGCTCAAAAAAGCAGAACTACTTAGAATTATCATTCTCAATTAATTAAGCCTAATGGAGTTTTATTAATTCTACGCGACATATCCCGACGCAATAAAAAGTCTGTGCACTTTTCGCGATAGCTTTACACGCAATTTTTTTTGCAAATTGTAGTAACTCGGATGCATAGTAATTTGGTAATGCATTGGTATATTATACTTTTCGTAACTAGACAACGTCCCTTCAATAGTTTAGTATCCATAAGGAAAAAATAACGATTCATAGAAAGTCCTTGGATACGGTAATTTAGTGAATGACAATAAACGTCTTTTAATGTGTCGTAATAAGATTACTGTACGATATTCTTATAATTGCATAGATGGATAGATGTTATATTGAAGAGAGAACATATGTACATGTAATATTTTAACAGGTCATACAGGTAAAAAGAAAAGACGAAGAAAATGGATTTTTGAAATGAGAGAAATCGATCAAATATATTATTTCCTCGTTTTTGTCAAATATGAAAAGTTACATTCGACTTCCATTCTGCTCTTTTTTACATATCCTGTCATCTTTTAGAACTTTTTTAATAAAACGTTCCAACATGTACATATATGAAAATTATATATCTTGAAAATTATGTCAACACTTTTATTTCAGTTTTTCTATGTCTCACCAAGCTAAAACTTTATTTCATTATAGTTCGCAACTTATACATTATGTATCACTTGCCAGTGAATCTTCATGTATGTATTCTCTACGGCTTGACTATACTCATAACATTCAGATTGTCTAACCTTGATCCAGTTGACCCTACGTGATCATTTATACGTAAACATCTTATAGCGTTCATATCACGAACAGTGACTGGTTATTTTGCCATCAAGAATGTTGCGAATCGGTGTCGCTTTTATTAACAAACAACAATGTCCGATGATATGATGTGTCCACGGATTTAAAACGAATATATTGCTAAATCCTTAGTACTCGGAAAATAATAGGATACCCAGTTTCGATACAGACGTACGGATAGTAAAAGTATCACTCGAGTAATTAAATTTGAATGTCCATATGTAATATCAGTGTATTTATTTACACTATTTATCAAAAAAGATCTTTAACTGTTCAATCGTTGTCGCTTTAGATTTTTTGAAAGTACTTTCTTTTTTTCTCTGCAAAAGATAGAGAGAGACGAAGATGAATTTATCGATAAAGATAAAATTGAATGAATCGATTTTAAGCTAGATTTTTAATTTTTCGTAACAATGCGTGAAATTTATATTAATGCTTTTTCACTGCAAGTCAATCCGGTACAGAAACGAGTTTTAATTCCGAACCACCTAGGAATTGCAGAAGCGTTGATGCATTCTGTTTCATTCCGTATTTTTTTTTCCTTTTTTTGCGGGAAAGCGCGCATTGACGTCAGCATTCAAACGACAATTCGGTTTTTGTCACATGCGCATGATAGGTATTATCACGAATGTTTTCTTTGGTTACATGCTTTTTTATTTTCGCGAAAATTTAACGTGTCAGTTAAATTAATAAATATCACGATAAAAACTCGTTAAGGCATCGGTTTGAACTTTTAATTTGAATTCATTAGTAATCTTGAGATTTTTTCAAAAAGCACATCAAATATGAGAGATGAAAAAAATACTTTTAAACGTTATTTAATCAACTATAATAGCTAATTATATTATCAAAAATAAACAGCAGAATAAAGAGATAGCTCGGTCCCGATGATTTTTGAATAGAGAAGCTCTCTTTACTATGTTATTTTGTTTTAAACATCGGATCATTTGATCATCATCTACATTTCTAATTAAAAAAATAATAAAGTTGTTTTTAGCGCTTGCGTCACCCAAAGAAATAACAAATGCAGAGATGTAGAGATTTAATTAGAGAAAACTCACGCTAAGTTTAACCTTCCATATTCCCGTTATATATCCCCGTTTTATATCGCAACTCTGTCCTGTTTTGCTTCCGCGTGTTATCAGTCGTATCAAGACAGGTATATTTCTTGAAAGAGCACCGCATTACGTATGCTTCTTGAAAAAGCATGTGAGATAAACAGTTCAGTGGAAGAGAATAACAGATTTCAAATTAAAAACGCAAATCTAAATCAAATTTCTCTTAATTTCGCGAAGAAAACCCGCTGTAAAATCGATTTCATGAATCGTGCATCAATATAGCTCAAAAAAGCAGAACTACTTAGAATTATCATTCTCAATTAATTAAGCCTAATGGAGTTTTATTAATTCTACGCGACATATCCCGACGCAATAAAAAGTCTGTGCACTTTTCGCGATAGCTTTACACGCAATTTTTTTTGCAAATTGTAGTAACTCGGATGCATAGTAATTTGGTAATGCATTGGTATATTATACTTTTCGTAACTAGACAACGTCCCTTCAATAGTTTAGTATCCATAAGGAAAAAATAACGATTCATAGAAAGTCCTTGGATACGGTAATTTAGTGAATGACAATAAACGTCTTTTAATGTGTCGTAATAAGATTACTGTACGATATTCTTATAATTGCATAGATGGATAGATGTTATATTGAAGAGAGAACATATGTACATGTAATATTTTAACAGGTCATACAGGTAAAAAGAAAAGACGAAGAAAATGGATTTTTGAAATGAGAGAAATCGATCAAATATATTATTTCCTCGTTTTTGTCAAATATGAAAAGTTACATTCGACTTCCATTCTGCTCTTTTTTACATATCCTGTCATCTTTTAGAACTTTTTTAATAAAACGTTCCAACATGTACATATATGAAAATTATATATCTTGAAAATTATGTCAACACTTTTATTTCAGTTTTTCTATGTCTCACCAAGCTAAAACTTTATTTCATTATAGTTCGCAACTTATACATTATGTATCACTTGCCAGTGAATCTTCATGTATGTATTCTCTACGGCTTGACTATACTCATAACATTCAGATTGTCTAACCTTGATCCAGTTGACCCTACGTGATCATTTATACGTAAACATCTTATAGCGTTCATATCACGAACAGTGACTGGTTATTTTGCCATCAAGAATGTTGCGAATCGGTGTCGCTTTTATTAACAAACAACAATGTCCGATGATATGATGTGTCCACGGATTTAAAACGAATATATTGCTAAATCCTTAGTACTCGGAAAATAATAGGATACCCAGTTTCGATACAGACGTACGGATAGTAAAAGTATCACTCGAGTAATTAAATTTGAATGTCCATATGTAATATCAGTGTATTTATTTACACTATTTATCAAAAAAGATCTTTAACTGTTCAATCGTTGTCGCTTTAGATTTTTTGAAAGTACTTTCTTTTTTTCTCTGCAAAAGATAGAGAGAGACGAAGATGAATTTATCGATAAAGATAAAATTGAATGAATCGATTTTAAGCTAGATTTTTAATTTTTCGTAACAATGCGTGAAATTTATATTAATGCTTTTTCACTGCAAGTCAATCCGGTACAGAAACGAGTTTTAATTCCGAACCACCTAGGAATTGCAGAAGCGTTGATGCATTCTGTTTCATTCCGTATTTTTTTTTCCTTTTTTTGCGGGAAAGCGCGCATTGACGTCAGCATTCAAACGACAATTCGGTTTTTGTCACATGCGCATGATAGGTATTATCACGAATGTTTTCTTTGGTTACATGCTTTTTTATTTTCGCGAAAATTTAACGTGTCAGTTAAATTAATAAATATCACGATAAAAACTCGTTAAGGCATCGGTTTGAACTTTTAATTTGAATTCATTAGTAATCTTGAGATTTTTTCAAAAAGCACATCAAATATGAGAGATGAAAAAAATACTTTTAAACGTTATTTAATCAACTATAATAGCTAATTATATTATCAAAAATAAACATCCTTTAAGAGAAATTATATATTTAAAACTCGCTAATAGCGAACTTTGAATAATTACAAGAAGAAAAATCGAAAATTAAATCGAAAATATTTTGATATAAAAACTCGAAATTAATTGCTAATTAAAGGGTTACATAATAATAAAGCTAAAGCTTAATGGTTTAATTGATATCTCTCCTCTCACAAAAAATTCAGAGATAATACAAAATTGAAAGCTATCAAACCATTAAACTAAAAATTAAATTAAATATATATCTATTGTATTAAACTAAAAATTCTCAACTCTCTGTTAAAGTTTCGCGACACAATATTCCCTGTAACGCGATTGTTGGACATGTGTACATTTTCGGTTTGGCGCACATTCACGGATGGATTCGCAGATGCAAAAACTTGTCAGAACTTTTCCTGATAGCTTTTTTTTTGTCAGATCCTGACAGTGTTCGGTTAAAGTTACAAAAAGTTCGCGACGTAAAAGACAACGGTTGGGCAGGTGACGCTTACAGTTTTACGACGAGACTTCCTTATGCTTGACGCGCAAGCGTCTACCACTATTTATTAGGGACGAATTTTATGGGCGCATATATTCATTCGTGTCTCTACAAAAAAACTCGTAAAATTGTCCCAAGATATTACAAACATTCAAATTACAAAAATATTTCAAAGAATTTGAGAATGAGTTATACGAATAAAAGTAGAACAAATGCTGTCACAGCAGAAGATAGAAGAAAAAACATCCTATTCTAAACAGCATATTCTGTTATTACATTATCATATAAATATACACATACAAAACATTTGCTTTATTTTTTAAAGAATATTCATTTGTAAATATCGTTGTCAAGTATCAATATAATCCAGTCGAATATGTATAAAATTATACAATTGGTGCATTAACTGTTTATATGTCTCAAAAAATTTTGCGTACCAAGATCTGTGTTGGTGCTACAAATCTCAAGTTTATCAATTTAAAAATTCTATAATATTTGTGTGTACTTTTATCTTTTTTTAAAGTAAACTTTTTATCGAAAATGTAATATTTTAAATCGAAGTATAAAAAGAAAGATTTGATTGAAAATATACACAATTTTCATTTTTTTCAAAGGGCTCATCTTGCTACAGGATCTGTGCAAGTATACATCGGCCCTGATCACCACTACCACCACCACCATCCCCGGTAAAGCTACGAGAAGGTAAGCTGAACCGAGGGCGCCTTCCGCGCGACAACCCCTCGGCGTTCAGTGGCTGCGCTTCATTCGCACCAGGCGTTACGTACGCGTATCTCTCGTATCTTCAGATCTCGTGTGCGGTGCCGCGGTGTGTGCGCTTTCGATAAAAACGGATAACTCGCGAGTTCTCGTGCAGTACAAGAAACTATCGGGTGAATTATCGATAAAGAAATTATCGTATTGGGATATATCGCGCGTTTGCCGCCTGGTCGCGCGCGAATTGTTGCGTCCTCGAGGGATCTGATCTTCAAATAATTTCTCGACACCGTCATTTTCGTCGCATAACGCAGTTAGTGTGGTATTTCATTTTATTGCTGGTGCATTTGATGCATTTGACAACAGGTTTTTAGAAATATAAAATTTTAGTTTCGTGCATCAAGCTGTCTTGTTAGGCGTTAAACGAGATAGATAGCGCTCTTCATGGTGATTCATATAATTGTGTCGCGAACAAGTGCGTTAAACTTGACTATAAAATAATTTTTTAATATCGGAAAATATTAGAAGCGAATTTCGGCGAGGAATGCGACTCGTTTAAAAAATATTTACGGATGATTTGTGAGATGAATGATTAGAACAAATTTTTAAATAGAATGTGCTTTTTTAAATAAGCGATTTTCTTAGTTTCTATATAAAAAGACATGCACTCTGTCTTTGTTGAATATTATATTTTTAATAATATTTATTTTAAAATATCATATATGACATATATGAGAACAATTACATGATCTTACTACATCTTCTATCTTTTTTTTTTTTTTTCATCGAGCATCAATCAACATTTTTTGCAAATACATTATGTTGATATTTCAAATATTCATTATTTGAATCAATTGCATGTGACATGTCACGTATACAATATTAATGCAGGATTGTATGCCATAAAAATTTTGATAGGTTTCATTATCCGCGATAAAATTTTGTTTGCTGTAAAATCTTTAGTTTTCATTTCTAAATTGTGCAAATTATCTACAGATTTTTTTTTGTAAAATTATGTGTCATTCTTTTTCATTTCTGAAATTAAAATAGGAATCTGTTCAGTTCTGTAAATTGTTATGTCAATCAAACTGTCAATGTTTCTAATATTCTGAGATGGCTTATTGAATTATAAAGATTGAATTTAGCAAATCGTTGACTCTCCTAATTTGTAATATCAGTTCATCATTATGGTGATATCCCTTACGTCAGGAAGTGCTGAGGTCATATGTACTAACCTATCTCTTTGACCTCATTTAGTACGTTATAGATATAACGTCACTGTCGTATCCATGTATGATTCAAACTTTTAATTTTCTGTTGAAAGTCAATAAGATCGTTTTTTTTGGTAATTAGTGCGATGACGTATTTAGAGAAAGACGGCTCGTGCTATGTTAAGTTATACTTTTTAATTGCTCTTCAAATAGTGTAGAGATCCTCAAATAATGTAGAGATCTTTAAGTTAGAGCTCGATTACCCAATACTTTACTAATTGGTTGAGATTCTTTTTGACGGCATCAATCAAAAATACAGTAAACTCTACAACATATTGGAAGGAGAACCGTCATAAAGATAGCCGGTCTAGCCTGTTAGACAACGAATATATCTAAAGGGTGATGCACTCTCTATCTTTTTAACATGCTATAAAAATAGCATGACCACTTAAGGACTATCTCTCTTGGTTTAAGCTGGCGTGGGCAAAATCCTCACTTATTCTTTTTTCAATACGTTATAAAGTTTACTGCGGAAATATTAAAAATTTCATATTTTGTTGTTACTACTGGCCATTTCTGGTTATTGATTGCTATTTTTAGCAAAAATCATAGCGATCATCAAACTTGAGGGTCTTTATAAATATTTAACATACGTCTGCAAAATTAAAAAAAAAAAGAGAAATTTATTGATACGATTTCAGAGAGAGAGAGAGAGAGAGAGAGAGAGAGAGAGAGAGAGAGAGAGAGAAAGAAAGATTAAGATTATAAAGATATTTTTGTATATATAATAATATGCGCCTAAAGCGCAATAATTGTCTTAAAATTTTTTAATCTTTCAGATATATATTTGAATATTCTTGATGAAATCACAAGATATTTACAATTAGTTCTTTAAAACGTAAAAGTTTTAAGTCCAATAATTATATTCAAATTAGAAAAATGTATTCGAAATTGTTGTCAAACTTTCTTAGGAAAATATGTCAATCACCATGATGAGCGCTCATCGTTTTCCGTACGATTATAACGCAGTAAACATGATACATTGACAATTTAAGATTTCTGTTTATTTCTCGTAGAAATATTATACCGTTTGTTTGTATTTCTTCCCCTTTTCACTTGAGAATGGAATCATCCAATATAATAAAAAACGAGAGTGTATGTGATTTTTAATTCTCGCGTAATCGTTTAAAACGTTTCTACCGTTGTTCGCGAGGATGGCTGCAAAAAATCTATAAGAGAACATGGTGGAATAACACGGTGCGAAATCTCCGATAACCGGACGAATCGCTGTGACCTCTATTCACAGATCGGAAGATATCTAGTGATTGAATGTGCGATATCGAGAAAAACTACGATTGGGCCGTCGTCATTGATCTCGAAACGTTTTTCATTCTTCTTCGCTCACGTTTCTCTTTCTGTACATCTCGCGGAATTTCAATCAGTGACGTCAAAAAGACCGATCTCCATCGGGATATCGTTACATCGTGGGTGAGTAACTTTCAAAGGAACCTGCGATTATATACTATCTTGTCTTTAAATTTTATAAAAATAGCCAATCCCCTGTTTCAATGTCACAAACGATGGTCTGAAGTATTTGTTTTAAATAGTTCTTTTAATATGTGCTTCTGATTATATAAAAGTAGGTCTGTTAGAAGAGATATGTTGTATTATATATATATATAAAATACTAATGTATATATATGTATATATATATATATATATATATATATATATATATATATATATATATATATATATATATATATATATGATATATTAATATTTTATTGTATATATTGATTTTGTCCACACTTTTATAAGAAAGAGGGAAGCAAAGAAAATATCTTGTACAAAATGATATGAAACACTGTCTGAAATTAATAAATCATACTTTCGACATATTTGAAATTTAAATAAATTTGTAATTTACGTGTATCTAATTTTGACATTACTCTTAGACAGATTATTTGAAAAATATATTATTAAATATGTATAATTATTTTTACAATGATATTTACAAGCTAAAGACATATTGAAGTAACATATTAAAAATTAACTGTGAGAAAATTACCTCATCTTTCTTTCTCGTTTTATGAGACAAAATCAAATTGCTTTATATAGATAATCATGATAATTAAATGAAATTAAAATCTAAATATTTCTGAAGGTCTTGTTGGATTCGGAGGTCAGAAAAGTCAATCATAAAATGTCCGTACGCGATAAGGTCTTGCAAACACGAACATTCTGACGCTCATATGATATACATTTTCCATAACGTTGCCATTTATCAGAGCGCGCACTTAGCGCGTCTCGGAATAACTATCGATTGTCATTTACCTAAATTACGCGCTTTTTATGATAGACCGATGAGGTCAGACATAACTTTTCAGTTATAGCTGAATACCATATCGTATTTAAGAATGTTCGCTTTTCTATTCGCTCATTAGTTACATCACGATAAAGTACATCAAAAATTTTGAACAGAATACACATCTGCATATCATAATGCGTAAATAATTTTCTTTTTGAATTCGATAATAAACTTTACACATTATTCCTACAAAACATTGTAAGTCATAAGTAAAGTGCAATCTACATACATTAGAATCAGTTTACAAGTCAATAATTTATAATAATAAAATAGAAGAAAAAAAAATAGAAAAAGATAATAAAAAAGTTATATAGTGCTTATTACAAAACTATTTTGAGATTTTGATCTTTTCCGATGTTAGCAAAAATTTATCCTTTGCATTATTGTAAGGGATTTAATTCTATTTTCTCTGGCTGTAGCGAATTTTGATTTATTACGAGTGTTCTAATTATTCCTTATTTTAGCTGTAAATCCTTTCTAGAAATCTCATGCTTCTCTATGCAAGTATTTTATATCATTAATCATTTAAAATCAAATTAATTTAAATCACATTTAATTATATTTAATCTAAATTAAAATTTAATTAAGATTAAATTTAATATAAAGTTTAGGAAGAAGTATACTTGAAAAAATACGTCGTTTTCTGGATTCAATACTTCAATATCAATATTCTGATTATTGGTATATTATCGCATCTATTTTATTTTGATCTCTTTTCCCATTAGAGATTTTTAGAGATTCCTAAACTCATTACAATTATTTCAAAATAATTGAGTCAGACACGATTCTCTTTGTAATTATAAAGTCAAAAAGTTATGCAATTTATCTGAGATAGCCTGAGAGCAACACAGTGCTCAAGAATTTAATTAACTCACCGACATTTGAATTTCGTATAAAATGCAAATTGCATGTTGTATTTAATAAATACATGCCCTAGTACAATTCCGTAATTACCGGTTTCCCACTAAATATTAATCTATTTACGCTTACATCTCTCGCGTCACTAAATGTTTTTCTTTATCGCGTTCGCTGCTATGTGAGAGAATAACAGGTTGCGCGATTTTATAGATGGCCTAATTGAAAACGCACCTCGGGCGCAAATATACGCTCGGCACGAGTTGGCACTTTCGATTTATTACATGTCAATTTATATCCGTATTCACTGCCTGCATCTCTCACGGAGGGATAGCAGCTTGAAATAATTTATAAGGCCAACGTCCGATAGATGAACTGCCATTTATATAAGCACGTCTCTGTAATATCTCCACAGGATAACGCGAACTGTACTCGTGTGTGAATATCTGCGGATTATCTCGTTGCAAGCGTTTAAAAACTCAATTAATTTCGAACGAAAAAATAGACTATTTCATAACATATGATAAAAATTGTTGGAAAATATAAATCGCATGAATAAATTAATCAAAAGCAAATATTGTTACAATTTCTCATCGTAATTTCCACAATAGAGATTTTTAATAATATTTATAAACTATAAATAATATATTTAAGTAAATGTGATGAATGTGTAGTGCCATATTACATAGTTAAAAAATTAAGTATATTTTGATATTTTAATAGAAATAGTAGAAATGAATAAATTAAGAGTTTTCTCAAATGTCAATCAAAATAAAAATCACTGAGACAATTAAAATATCGACATCAATAATAGATATATTAATACTTAATTTATTTCATCTTATTGGAGAGTAGATATATGTTAACCCCCTCCGACTGGTGATATAATATTATTAATAAACGCATGTCTTGTACGCGGTATGATCACATGTTCTAATTAATTCTTATAATTAATTTAATGATGTTGAACTAATCTTTATACGAGAAGAAGTTATAAGTTATTATAAAAGAATACACCAATGCGGCAAAATTACACACGATTTAATTTTACAAGATAAATTAGATTAAGCGTTTCGCGGTGGTTTCATTATGCGATAATACACTTTACTGTGCTCCCTAATACCGAGCTGGAATTAATAGGATTATCTCGGGCGATTACTAAAAGAGAGAAAGATAGAGATAGAGATAGGTAGAAAGAAAACAGGTAAACTTAAAATCCGTATCTAAATATCTAAAATATTATAGTATTTCTGTAATTAAATCGATATCGCATTAACACATCACAATTATATCGTCAGATAGCAGTGACGAATAATAATAGTACTCTAAATTATCTCAAAAACTCAGAGGCAAGTAAGTTCAAATAAATAAAACAAAAAAAACGAAAATAAAATTAAGTTTTAAATCAATTAAAATAATTTTAGGAATTCTTTATTCTCTCTTTCTCTCTCTCTTTTACATTAAAAAGAAGTTTAATTTTATACACACACACACACACACACAAAACTTTAAATTTAATTTTTCATTTTTTGCAATGACGATTTGTTGTTCAGAGAACTAATAAAAATTACTATTATTGCGGATACCGCCAAATTAAAAAGCATTTTTAGATGCATGCATTTGTTTGTAACGCAATGTTCATCTCTTATGAGATTGAAGATGTTTAATCAACTTCATAGTAGAGTCACCCACGCGTTGCAACTTGATCATCTTTATCCATGCTGTGATGCTTTTAAATCTGTGTACAACACGTGTACCATTGTGTTTACACATTTACGACAAGCTTCCTTTCCAGCGTTATTAACGCTTTGATATAGTTCATTAATTCGAGATTGTGCAAACGAAATGAGTTTTTCCATTAATAGACATGAATTGTACTGGCCTTATTCAATATAACATTTTAAAACTTATAGCATGCATTTTTTTCACAAATCGGAAACATTAGATAACATAATATTAATATTAATGCGTATATGTTAAAAAATACATACGTGTTCCAATACAATATGTACATAAAAATAAATTTTAATATTAATTCTAAAACACAGGTAACGTAAATAAAATTTAAAAACGTAAATAAAATTTAATTTAAAATAAGAAAAACCGTTAGAGAGTGATACGTAGATTTTTTCAGTAAAACTTCTTTACTAGAATATTATTCAATAAATATTCAACTTAGAAGAGTGTTTTCAGAATATAAATATTTAAAAATTCAAAATCCCGAAACCGAAGATGCGAGATAACATCATCACATATTGATTTCTGAGCGAATCATTATACGGAAACATTATTTCGTTGAAGTATATGCAGTAATATGTAAATTCGTGGCAAATACTATTATATATATAATATAGATAATATGGAAATCTATGAATAAATATCGAGAAGAATGTACATAAATTTGTGATCGGAAAATTTGGAAATAATGCATTTTTGAGATTGAAGTACTTTATTGATTTTCGGACTATGCCATTTTGAGAAAATAATATCTGTGAACAATGACATTTCGAGGCAATGCAATTCTGTATGCACCTATTTCACTTTGCCGATTTCTTCTTTAGATACACGTACATTGTATCGAAGCCATGCAAAGACTTTGACCTATTTTGTGAGAACGAAATATCTAAAACATGTCTTTTACTATCCTCGGCTTTGCGACACATCAAGACGACGAGAGTTAAGTTTTCACGAGAAAGTCGTAGTAATCTCGTTAGAATCAACCGAATCCATGCCATCCATCCAGTAATAAGGGAAATAAGCGCTGTCAGCGTTCTGTTTACTGTCGCGTAATAAAGATAAACGTTAAGTGATGAGAAATGTGACTAAAATATAATGGATTGTCTTGTCGTTGCAAAAATATAGTTTAGATGAATTAATGCGCGTTCTTTTGCAGATGATGTCTGACCCTAACGGAGAGAATAACTATTCTGATGTTGGAATTTTAAATTTTATCTAAGAGCCGAAAATATACAATAGAAAAACTTTTCGAACAGTATTTAATAATACATCTCCTTTCTTTTGATAGCTACAAACATAAAAGCTTCAAAGCTTTGTTTTAATATTGGCACTTTGATTCGCAATCTTAAAATGTATCACCAATCAAATTTTCCGATTTCTTATATGTTCGATTGCTACTCTACTCTTACAGTATTTTATATTGGCTTCGAAATGCACTATATCGAGAAAATGTTAGTTTACGAGCATTTTATTCGTGATATAGAAGTGATGAAATGATTTTATAGTAAAGCAAACAGAGCCTTAT